GATATTTCTCTTGCAGTTGGCTTATTAATGTTTGGAATCATCTTATCAAGGTTTGAGAGCAGAGGAGGCAACCTGCTTTAAAAAACCCAGCGAAGAAAGATAAGAACATTCCGCCGTTTTCGTTTTTCAGATCACGCCAAAAAAGGGAATTTTACCAGACAAGCCAAGATGGACGCTTCTATATCTCTTTTGAAATAAGCATTGTGAAATGGATCTTAAATCACAGCGGTGGCTGTTCAAGACATGGCTTGTTTGACAGGTCAAGTTCTCCTGCGCAGAATGGAGGGGTGGAATTCTTTTTTTTTTATATATAAATTTTATTTATAATACAGTTAAAAACAAACATTGGATTTGACGTGACATTCCAGTATATACATTCTTATCAGATTATTCCACTTTTTACAATCAGTTCTTCCTCTCTACATATACATCTAAGTTTTATATACAATACTTGTTCTAAAATAACGTCTATTTCTATCTTAACACTCGTCTTTAACCCCGACTGTCCTCTTCGAATTCCTCCAGCGGTAAAATTTATCCCAGGTTTCATAATAAACTGATCCACATTTGTCTTTTAATATCCTTGTGAGCCTGTCCATTTCCGCACATGCTAATATTTTATGTATTAACTCTTCCTCTGTGGGAATTTCCTTGCTCTTCCATTTTGGCGCAAGAACAAGCCTAGCTGTGGTCAGGATGTGTAGCAGCAGGTCGATTGTTCCCTTGTCGTATTTTTCTGTCGTTATTCCCAACAAGGAGAGTTCAGTTTTAACTCTAAGTCCAGTGTTAATATATCCCTCAACCAGTTTCGTGTCCTGTTCCAATATTCACGGATCTTTGGGCATTCCCACCACATATGGTAGTATAAACCTATTGCTGTTTTACATTTCCAGTATAGGGGTGAGATGTTTGAACCCATTTTGGTTAGCCTTACGGGTGGGAAATGCCATCTATAGAACATCTTGAAAAGATTTTCCTTATATGAGGTAGCTAAGATGAGTTTCCTATTCCTTTCCCACAGTTCTTGCCAAATACACAGGTCGATACTGAAACCAAAATCCCTACTCCAAATTAACATGGTCTCCTTAACCTGTTCTTCATACATTGTCTGATCTAATAGAAAATGATATTTTTTTTTAAATCATTTTATCCTCGGGACCTAATAAAATTTTACCTAGTTCTGTCAGTTCTATCTTTATACCCCACTCTTTTTTATCTTGTCTATATCTGGCTTGTAGTTGGAGGTATGCCCACCATTCTAATTCTATCAATTCTGCATCTTGGAGATTCTTCCTTGATTTTAATTCTCGGAGGGATGGAATTCTTAACCTAGTATTGTTTTAACTCGGTTACGCTATAAATGGCATAAAGCAGGGATACTCAACTTTCCTGGCTGGGGAATTCTGGGAATTGCAGTCCACCTGTGTTCAAGCTGCCGGGGTTGAGAAAACCTGCTTTATGGGCCCCGAGGTTGGGTGAAGAACGACTCCAGATGGCTGGCACTGGGTTCAAATCCTCCCAACAAAATAGAGGCAGCCTTGACTTATGACCGTCATTTCCGTCCAAAGTCAGTGCATAATTTTGTCACTGGTGTTTCTCACCCCTGGCAACCTTTAAGACGGATGGACTTCAAGTCCCAGAATTCCCCAGCCAGCACAGCTTGAATTCTGGGAACTGAGGTCCACCCATCTTAAAAGATGCCAAGGTTGAAAAACGCTAACTTGGTTAGAGGAGGCTCCAAATCCTTAGGGAGAAAAGGGCCTTAGAGAAGTTGTCAGGAAAAAAAAACAGGATAACAAGAGTTGGAAGGGACCTTAGAGGTCTTCTAGTCCAGCCCCCTGCTCAAGCAGGAAACCTTATACCATTTTAGACAAATGGTTGTCTAAACTCCAAAACATACCTTTGCAAGGATGAATTAGTATTTCCCTGCAGCCTTCAGCTCAGATTGGTCTTTTTTTTTTTTAACAAAGAAACAACTTGATCCCACGAATAGAATAGAATAGAATAGAATATGGAATGAAGAATAGAATAGAATAGAATAGAATAGAATAGAATAGAATAGAATAGAATAGAATATGGAATGAAGAATAGAATAGAATAGACTATGGAATGAAGAATAGGATAGGATAGAACAGAACAGAACAGAACAGAACAGAATAGAATAGAATAATGAAATGAAATGAAAAATAAAGTAGAGTAGAGTAGAGTAGAGCTGGAAGGGACCTTAGAGCTCTTCTAGTCCAGCCCCCTGTTCAAGCAGGAGGACCTATACCATCTCAGACAGGTGATTGTCCAGTCTCTTTTTAAAAACTTCCAATGATGGGGCACCCACGATTTCTGGTGGCAAGCTGTTCCACTGGTTGATTATCCTCACTGTCAGGAAGTTTCTCCTTAATTCCAGATTGCTTCTCTCTTTGATCAGTTTCCAACCATTGTTTCTCGTCCTTCCCTCTGATGCTCTGGTGAACATGACACCCCTCTTCCTTGTGGCAGCCCCTCAAATACTGGAACACTGCTTTTATGTCTCCCCTGTTTCTTCTTTTCTTTAGACTAGCCAGACCCAAGTCCCGCAGCCGTTCTTCGTATGTTTCAGTTTCCAGCCCTTGGATCGTCTTAGCTGCTCTTCTCTGAATTTTTTCCAAACTCTCAACATCTTTCTTGTGATCCAGTGACCAAAATTGGCTGCCGTATTCCAGGTGTGGTCTTACTAGGGCAGTGGTTCTCAACCTGTGGGTCGGGACCCCATTTGGGGTTGAACGACCATTTCACGGGGGGTCGCCAAACAACGCAGTCTGCCATTTCCCCCCCCCCCTTTTCGTTAGCTGTGCTACTCCCTTTTATTGTATTGGCTTTTGAAAGCCAACAGAATAGACTCTCTTGAATAGAGTCTAATTCTATTGGCTTTCAAAAGCCAATAGGAATTGTCCAGGCTGTCTCTGCCCTGCTGAGTCTGCCAAAAGTCCCAGTCTGCAAATGGTGCTGCACCAGTTGAGTAGTCCTCGACTTACGACCGGTTGAGTAGTCCTCGACTTACGACCGGTTAGGGGTCGTGGCATTAAAAAGGTTGAGAACCACTGTACTAGGGCTTTATAAATCGGTACTAATACTTCGCGTGATCTTGATTCTATGCCTCTGTTTACACAGCCCAGGATTGCGTTAGCTTTTGCCAATTCTGTAATGCAATTTCTGTGCATTTCTACAGTTTTCTCTCACGCTGAGCCCAGCTGGAGCCTCAGGAAAGAGTGTTGCCCAGACAGGGCTGGAATTTCCATCCATCCGAAAAAGAATGCAATCCACAATAAATAGGGGAAAAAAAAACAATAATTATCACAAGTAGCGCCCACTCATGGAAAACCCCAGGGTGGAAGAATGAAGGTTTGTGTGTTTTGGGATGCGCAACTTCACCGCATGTTCTCAAAGCTGAGATGTTTTTTTAAAAAAATTGGCAGTGAAGGCATAAACTGATCCAAGTTTACAAAAAAAACAAAAAACCAAACCCACTACTTTAAAGACCCTCTTGCTGTGCATTTGCAGTGTTTGTGTATTTGCGGGATTGTGGGTTTGTTTCTCTATGTGTGTTTTTGTATGTGTTGGGGCAGGAAACAGACGAGATGTATTAGCGAATGTTTATAAGGCATATTTGGATGTTTTCATCCCAAACACGACAACAGTGAACCACAAATTAGCTCGCCACAACTGAGCCTCGATTGTTGTGAGAACTCAGGCTGTGCTTGAACAAACCTGGGATGAGTCAAGTGAGTGTGTTGTGGGAACACAGTCTCTTAGACCAGGGGTCTGCAACCTTGACCACTTGTGGACTTCAGCGTGCCTGGCTGAGGAATTCTGGGAGTTGAAGTCCATGAGTCACAAAAGGGCCAAGTTGGAAGACCCCCGTCTTAAAGCCTCCTGGCTGAGGGATTCTGGGAGTTGAAGTCCACAAGTCACAAAAGGGCCAAGTTGGAAGACCCCCGTCTTAAAGCATCCTGGCTGAGGGATTCTGGGAGTTGAAGTCCACAAGTCACAAAAGGGCCAAGTTGGAAGACCCCCATCTTAAAGCATCCTGGCTGAGGGATTCTGGGAGTTGAAGTCCACTAGACATCAAAGGGCCAAGTTGGAAGACCCCTGTCTTAAAGCATCCTGGCTGAGGAATTCTGGGAGTTGCAACCTTGACCACTTTAAGATTTGTGGACTTCACCTCCCAGAATTCCTCAGCATGTCATCCTTCATGCTGATATGTACTCAAAATTACATATCACATTCCTTTCTCTCTGAGTCATTTTTCCTAGCCATTGATAAAAATTATCCCATGTTCTAAAAGTAAACAGAATTTTCTTTCTCTTTGATCTCTAAAGCCAATCTGTCCCATTTCTGCGCACTCTAGAATTTGTTTTAATGAATACTTCTTCAGTTGGTAAGCTTTCACTTTTCCAATATTGGGCAAATACAACTCTTGCTGCTGTTAATACATGTAATATTAGATATCCGCTCTCTTTCTCGCCGTTAGCTCCTGTTATTCCTAACAGGAACGATTCTGGTTTAAAGTCTGTTTTCTAGTCATCTTCTCCAGCCGTGAATGTATTTCAACCCAAAACATTTTTGTTTTAGGGTAGGGGTGTCAAAATCAATTTCATTGAGGGCCGCATCAGCATCGCGGTTGCCCTGGGGGGGGCGGGGGTGTGTGGCCAGAGTGGGTGTGGCCTACTGGGTGGGCATGGATGGAGTGGGTGTGGCCTACTGGGTGGGCATGGCCAGCTCTACATCATTTGTGTCAAGAGTGCCTGTGGGGGCCTGGGCAGGAGTGGGACAGATCTGAGGGTCTCTGGCAGAAGGGGGTGGGACCGGAGCAAGTGCCAAGGCATGGTCCACTGGAGGAGCCTCACTGTTCCTCTCAGGCCATATTGGGGGAGGGGGCTGGATGGTGATGCGGGCTGCCTGGAGCCCTGGGCAGCAAAGATCAAATGCCCAGCCTGGCCCTCAAGCATCCATAGCACCAAGCCCAGCCCCACTTCCCCAAGGGGGTACCCAGCTGCACTTACCTCCCCCTCAAGGCTGCTGCTGCTGTGCTTGCTCCCCTTAGCCAAGTTGTGCATGATGGGCACCAGGGCAAAGTCAGAAGGAGACCGAATGCATTTCAACATAAATGGCAACCACAAAATTGTACATTGGCTCCCGGCCGGCCTGGGCCAGGGCCAAGGCAGCGGGGGCCGTTCCCTCACTGTTTCCAGGATGGCTTCACGGGCCACATGAAACCACTTCGCGGGCCGCATTCGGCCCCCGGGCCTTGGGTTTGACATATCTGCTTTAGGGCATTTCCTCCTGATCTTTCTGTGCCACAGCTGCCCGCAGAGAAGTGCAGATAGACCATTCCAGCCCATGGAGGCTACTCTTGGCTTGGTCCTCCGGCCTCCGTTCAAAAAAACCTCCCAATTAATTAAGGGGAGGAAGAGAACCAAAAAAAAATTGTGCAAAAGAGGCGTGCAAGGCCGGTCCGATCTTCTGCACGATGGCCGCCATGGGGGGGAACGTTTGGCCGCTGATGGGTGGAAGATGGGCCGGTCTTGGCACAAGCTGCGGGTGACTTATTATGCTGCTTTCTCGGAGGTGTAAAGTCCGCCTGGCCACGTAAAAATCCGGGCCAGATCTGGGCCAGATCGCTTTCTGGCTTGTGGCTAAGGGATCCGTGCAGATGGTGGTTGATGATTAGCCAACGTTTGCACACCTTGCGACAGGTTAGCAAACCAGCTTCGGCTGCGTCTCCCCGCTCGCCTCTTCCTGGGTGCTCCGGATTCGGACAGGATCAACTTATTTCTTCCCTTGACACCTGCCGGGCTGGGCAAGATTTTGGAGAGGGAATTGACAATCCAACCATTAATCCGAGGGAGAATTTTGCCCTGGTTTGTTGACTTCCCAGCAGCCTTGCAGATTAGGAGGGGAGAAAAGGGGATTCCCCCCTCATGGGCTGGGTTCGGAAGGCATGGCGAGAGAAGGGTTGGCCAGGCAAGTTGCGGTGTCTTTGTTAATTCTTTGATCTCTTTCTTGATCTATGTCTATTTATTTATTTTATGTTCTGCCTTTATAAATCATCCAAGGCAGCGAACATATCCAGTGTATCTTCGTCTTATTTTCCCCCACAACAACAACCCAGTGAGGTGGCCTGGACGGAGAGAGAGAGGGACTGCTACAAAGATACCCAGCCAGCTTTTTTGCCCAAGGTGGGACTAGAACTCACCATCGCCTGGTGATTGCCTCAAAGTCACCCAGATGGCTTTCATGCCTAAGGCAGGACTAGAACTCATAGCCTCCTAGTGATTGGCCCAGAGTCACTCAGCTGGCTTTCATGCCTAAGGCGGGACTAGAATTCACCGTCACCTGGTAGTTGGCCCAAAGTCATCCAATTGACTTTTGTGCATAAGGCGGGACTAGAACTCACCGTCGCCTGGCGATTGGTCCAAAGTCATCCAATTGGCTTTCGTGCCTAAGGTGGGACTAGAACTCACCGTCGCCTGGTGATTGGTCCAAAGTCATCCAATTGGCTTTCGTGACTAAGGCGGCACTAGAACCCACAACACCAAACTGCCTCTCTTTCAATTATCTGAGTTATCCATGGCAGGGTGGTCAAAGAAATTAAGATGACTTTGTTGCGTAGAGGCTGAGATTTGGTCACCTCGTCCCAGCTGCCATCTTGACTTTTTTGACCCACTGTGGCCAGAGATCTCTGCAAACTGATACGATTGTCCCTTTTTTGATGGCTAACTTGCTTACAAAGACAAGGGGGGAAAAAACTATAATTTTTCTTAACACGGGACGGGCGACCACCATAATGGAAAGTCCTCGACTTACACACATTCATTTAACAGTCCAATGGAAGCCGCCATCTTGACTTTTTTGACCTCTCTCTTTCTTTTTCTCCGCCATATCAAGCGCACTGCAGACTGAGTCAGCTCCCCTTAAATACAGTATAGGCAATCCTCGACTTATAACAATTTGTTCAGCGCTCCGAAAAGGGACTTGTGGCTGTTTTTCAGCCTTATGACCGTTGTTATTGGTAGTCCTTGATTTATGACCGGTCAGTTAATGACCATTCAAAGTTACAATGGGCCCCCCCAGGGGTACAGGTAGACCTCGAATTACACCCATTCATTTACTAACTGTTCAAATGTACAACGGCACTGAAAAAAATTAGGTCGGACTGTTGTTTTCACAGTCACTAGCGTTATAGCATCCCCGTTGTCACGTGATCAAGGTTCAGAACTGACTCATAGTTACAACGGTCGCCGCGTCCCGGGAGTCATGGGATTGCGACTTTCTGATGAGCACTGGGGAAGACAGACTGGGTGACCGGTGTAACGACTGCAGTGACAACACTTAAGAACTGCGGCCGGGAATGTCATAAAACGGGGCAAAGCGCACCTCTGTCTCAGGGATGGGAATGTTGATGTCAGTTGTAATAGTAGTAAAGTTGGAAGGGACTTTGGAGGTCATCTAGTCCAACCCCCTGCTCAGGCAGGAAATCCTACACCATTTCGGACAAATGGCTGTCCAGTCTCTTCTTAAAAACTTCCAGTGTTGGAGCATTTACCGCTTCTGGAGGCAAGGAGTTCCACTGGTTAATTGTCCTCACTGTCAGGAAGTTTCTCCTTAGTTCTAGGTTGCTTCTCTCCTTGATTAGTTTCCACCCGTTGCTTCTTGTCCTGCCTTCAGGTGCTTTGGAAAATAGCTTAATTCCCTCTTCTTTATGGCAGCCCCTGAGATATTGGAATACTGCTATCATGTCCCCCCTTCTCCTTGTTGTGACTGTCCGTTGTAATCACCTCTCTGTGTGTTTTCTCTCCACAACTGCAACAGTCGGGGCCTGTTTACCGACGTCTCCTAGAGTGAAGTTGCGGTCGCCAAAACGTTCTCCAGGCCGTCTGCAGCCAGAAGGTTACCTGGCCCATGGACAAGTGGACAGTTATCTTCTAACCGGTGGGATGGAGAAGACAGTCTCCGAGGAGGAGACCCAGCCACTGCCCTACCCGAAGGGGTCTTTGGACTGCAAAGATGGAAGTGATTGCACGGAGGACAGACATCTGCTGGACAAGACCGCCAGGCCAACCTTGGAACTGACCGACGGGGTCCAGAAACCCAACACCAGCTACGGGGAGAACCGGGCCACCAGTCCAGTGTCCAATGGGTTTTCTGGAGCCCAGAGCCCGCTCGGTGCTGGCAAGATGGCAGCAGACAGCCAGGGTCTTCCCTCTGGACCCTCCACTACCCTGCCTACCACCGCCCTCTTCGGGGTGGTGGGACCCCAACCGCCCTTGACGGAACAGCGGGAGAGGGAAACCTGGAGTAAAAAAATAGACTTTCTTCTCTCCGTCATTGGCTACGCGGTGGACCTGGGCAACGTGTGGCGTTTTCCATACATATGTTACCAAAATGGAGGAGGTGAGTTCCAGTGCTTGAAAGAACATAGAATAATAAAGTTGGAAGGGACCTTAGAGGTCTTCTAGTCCAACCCCCTGCTCCAGCAGGAGACCCGATAATCATTTCAGACAAGTGACTGTACAATCTCTTCTTAAAAGGCTCCAGGGATGGAGCAGCCACAATTTCTAGAGGCAAGGAGTTCCACTGGTTAATTGTCCTCACTGTTAGGAAGTTTCTCCTTAATTCCAGGTTGCGTCTCTCCTAGAATAGAATATAATAGAATAATGGAATGGAATAGAATAGAATAGAATAGAATAGAATAATGAATAGAATAGAATAGAATAGAATAATGGAATGGAATGGAATGGAATGGAATGGAATAATAGAATAAAATAGAATTTAGAATAGAATGGAATGGAATGGAATAGAATAGAATAGAATAGAATAGAATAGAATAGAATAGAATAGAATAGAATAGAATAATGGAATGGAATAGAATAGAATAGAATAGAATAGAATAGAATAATGAATAGAATAGAATAGAATAATGGAATGGAATGGAATGGAATGGAATAATAAAATAAAATAGAATTTAGAATAGAATGGAATGGAATGGAATGGAATAGAATAGAATAGAATAGAATAGAATAGAATAGAATAGAATAGAATAGAATAGAATAGAATAGAATAATGAATAGAATAGAATAGAATAGAATTTAGAATAGAATGGAATGGAATGGAACGGAACAGAACAGAACAAAATAGAATAGAATAGAATAGAATAATGGAATGGAATGGAATGGAATAATAGAATAAAATAGAATTTAGAATAGAATAGAATGGAATGGAATGGAATGGAATGGAATGGAATGGAATAGAATAGAATAGTGGAAGAGAAGAGAAGAGAATTTGAAATAGACTAGAGTACCACTGTATTTAGAATAGAATAATAAAGTTTGAAGGGACCTTGGAGGTCATCTGGTCCAACCCCTTGCTCAAGCAGGAGACCCTATACTATTTCAGATAAATGGTTGTCCGATCTCTTCTTAAAAGCTTCCAGTGTTGGAGCAGCCACAACTTCTGGTGGCAAGCTGTTCCACTGGTTAATTGTCCTCACCATCAGGAAATTCTCATTAATTCCAGGTTGCTTCTCTCCTTGATAAATTTCCACCTGGTATTTCTTGTCCTGCCTTCTTGTGCTTTGGGGAATAGCGTGACCCTCCTCTTCTGTGTGGCAGCCCCTGAAATTTTGGAAGACTGCTATCACGTCCCTCCCTTGTCCTTTTCTCCAGACTGGCCATACCCATTTCCTGCAACCGTTCTTCATATGTTTTATTCTGCAGTCCCCTAAAATCTTCTCCGTTGCTCTTCTCTGCACTCTTTCCAGAGTTAATAATAATAATAATAATAGTAGTAAAGTTGGAAGGGACCTTGGAGGTCATCTAGTCCAACCCCCTGCTCGGGCAGGAAACCCTACACCATTTCGGACAAGTGGCTGTCCAGTCTCTTCTTAAAAACTTCCAGTGTTGGAGCATTTACTGATTCTGGAGGCAGGCTGTTCCACTGATTAATTGTTCTCACTGTCAGGAAGTTTCTCCTTAGTTCTAGGTTGCTTCTCTCCTTGCTTAGTTTCCACCCATTGCTTCTTGTCCTGCCTTCAGGTGCTTTGGAAAATAGCTTAATTCCCTCTTCTTTATGGCAGCCACTGAGATATTGGAATACTGCTATCATGTCCCCCCTTGTCCTTCTCTTCGTTAAACTAGACATACCCAATTCTAGCAACCGTTCCTTATATGTTTTAGCCTCCAGTCCCCTAATCATCTTTGTTGCTCTTCTCTGTACTCTTTCTAGAGTCTCTGCATCTTTTTTATATCGTGGCGACCACAGAGTAATGGATCCTCCACCGTATAGGGAGGCAAATTGACAAAAGGAGTAGGTCTTTAGAAACATCCACCATCCCCAATTATGCTCGAACTCCAAAAATTCAGCACGGTGACCTCGATCGGATGGCGATGGCCCCCATCCTGAACTTTTTGACTTCCATCTGTAGATGTTCCTCGTTGTGGGATGTCTACGGTCACTTCCCAAAGTTCATTCATGGTGGCTTGCCAGATAGACGCATTCCCATGTGGCATCAGCCCAAACTTGCTTCTTAAAACAAAGAGGATCGGGACTGGAGGCTAAAACATATAAGGAACGGTTGCTGGAATTGGGGATGTCTAGTTTAACGAAGAGAAGGACGAGGGGGGACAGGATAGCAGCCTTCCAGTATCTCAGGGGCTGCCCCAAAGAAGAGGGAGTCAAGCTGTTCTCCAAAGCGCCTGAAGGCAGGACAAGAAGCAACGGATGGAAACTCATCAAGGAGAGAAGCAACCTGGAACTAAGGAGAAACTTCCTGACAGTGAGAAGAATTAACCAGTGGAACCGCCTGCCTCCAGAAGCGGTGAATGCTCCAACACTGGAAGTTTTTAAGAAGAGACTGGACAGCCACTTGTCTGAAATGGTGTAGGGTTTCCTCCCTGAGCAGGGAGTTGGACTAGATGACCTCCAAGGTCCCTTCCAACTTTATTATTCTATTCTAAATACAGTAGGATCTCTATACTTAAGTGCTTTGAAACTCATCCAATTTGGTACTCTGTGCATTTTGATGTGAAAATGTTGTCCCGGTATGTTTGTTTGGTACTCAACATACAAGCTAGAACTGATTTGTATCAGCTGCCTTGTGTCATAACTTGGTATTCTTTATGGGAAAAATTTGATTGCTCCCTCATTGTTTTTGGAACTCCTTGCACCTCCGGAACCAATTAATGATAATTTGTCCAAAATGGTGTAGGGTTTCCTGCCTGAGTAGGGGGGTTGGAATGGATGACCTCCAAGGTCCCTTCCAACTTTATTATTTTTATTAAGAACCTGCCTCCAGAAGCTGTGGATGCTCCAACACTGGAAGTTTTTAAGAAGAGACTGGACGGCCATTTGTCCGAAATGGCGTAGGGTTTCCTGCCTGAGCAGGGGGTTGGACTAGATGACCTCCAAGGTCCCTTCCAACTTTATTATTATTATTATTATTATTATTATTATTATTATTATTACTATTATGAGTAGTAGTAGTAGTAGTAGTACAGCTAGTTCTCAACTTAGGAACACAAGGGGGCCTAAAATTTCTGAGATTTTTGTTAGGTGAGTTTTGTTCCGTTTTACAATTTTCCTTGCCACGGTTGTTAAACAAATCACTGCCGTTGTTAAGTTAGTAACTGGGTTGTTAAGCGAATCCGGCTTCCCCCACGGACTCTGGCAGAAGGCTGCAAAAGGGGGTCATGTGACCCCGGGCAACTGCGACCGTCATAAATACGAGTCAGTTGGCAAGTGTCTGAATTTTGATCGCTTACAACCGGTCGTAAGTGAGAAAAACGGTCATAGATCGCTTTCCCTCGTGCCATTGTAACTTTGAACAGTCACTAAACGAACAGTTGTGAGGGTTATCTGTACCGAGGTGCCCCTGTATTTTGTCGCTTCTGTTTGCAATACAGAATAAGAGAGTTGAAAGGGACCCTGGAGGTCTTCTAGTCCAACCCCCTTTCTGATCCTCTCCTTTCACTTTTAGGGGCCTTCCTCATCCCGTACACAATCATGGCCATCTTCGGAGGGATCCCTCTCTTCTACATGGAGCTGGCGCTGGGCCAGTACCACCGCCACGGCTGTATCTCCATCTGGAGGAAGGTCTGCCCCATCTTCAAAGGTAAGCCATGAGGGCGAGGCTTATGGCCATTGGGGGCTCCTGGCAGACGTTTCGTGACCCAGCTAGGTAGCATCGTCAGTGCTAGAAGGGAGGGGTGTTTGTGTGGTGGAGGAGGGGGAGGAGGAGGGGGGAGGGTGGCTGTGGGGTCCTTTGTGCTCTCTGAGCTGGGTAGTCTTCTTGCAGATGTTTCATGACCCAACTAGGTAGCATCAACAGTGCTAGAAGAAGAGGGGGGGGGTTGCAGAGAGGAGGAGGAGGAGGAGGAGGAGGAGGAGGAGGAGGAGGAGGAGGAGGAGGAGAAGGAAGGGGGTAGGAGGACTGTGGGGCCTCTGAGGCTCCCTGAGTGTTGGGTATTTTCTTGCAGACATTGCATGACCCAGTTAGGTAGCATCATCAGTGCTAGAAGGGAGGTGGGTCTGTGGAGAGGAGGAGGAGGAGGAGGAGGAGGAGGAGGAGGAGGAGGAGGAGGAGGAGGAGGAGGAGGCTACTGTGGGGTACTTGGTGCTCTCTGAGCTGGGTGGTTTTCTTGCAGACGTTTGATGACCCAACTAGGGAACATCACCAGTGCTAGAAGGGAGGAGGAGGAGGAGGAGGAGGAGGAGGAGGAGGAGGAGGAGGAGGAGGGACTGTGGGCCCTGAGACTCCCTGAGTGTTGGGTATTTTCTTGCAGACAGTTGCATGACCCAGTTAGGTAGCACATCAGTGCTAGAAGGGAGGTGGGTCTGTGGAGAGGAGGAGGAGGAGGAGGAGGAGGAGGAGGAGGAGGAGGAGGAGGAGGAGGAGGAGGAGGAGGAGGAGGAGGAGGAAGGCTACTGTGGGCGTTATTGTGGATCCTCTGAAGTGGGTGTGTTTCTTGCGACGTTGATGACCCAACTAGGGGACAGTCACAGTGGCTAGAAAGGGGGTGGGTTGCAGAAGAGGAGGAGGAAGGACATTGGAGAAGGTAAAATTGAGTGAGGGGCGTGGTAAGCTTATGTAAGGGCACTCGGATTAGGCATGGTAACTAGATTGAGGGAGCTCCTCTGAGGCTCCCTGAGTGTTGGGGATTTCTGCAGACATTGCTGCCCAGTTAGTTAGCATCATCAGTGCTGAAGGGAGGTGGGTCTGCGGGCAGAGGAGGAGGAGGAGGAAGGGAGGAGGAGGAGGAGGAGTGAGGGAGGAGGAGGAGGAAGGAACGACGACGGAAGGACAGGTAATGTGGGGGGTCCGGTTATACTCTGAGCTGCTCTCTGAGCTTGATGGACTTCTTGCAGACGTTTGATGACCCAACTAGGGAACATCACCAGTGCTAGAAGAGCTTGATGGACTTCTTGCAGACGTTTGATGACCCAACTAGGGAACATCACCAGTGCTAGAAGGGGGGGGGGGTTGCAGAGAGGAGGAGGAGGAGGAGAAGGAAGGGGGGTAGGAGGACTGTGGGGTCCCTGAGGCTCCCTGAGTGTTGGGGATTTTCTTGCAGATGTTTCATGACCCAACTAGGTAGCATCATCAGTTCTAGAAGGAAGAGGGGGCTGTGCGGAGGAGGAGGAGGAGGACTGTGGGATCCTTGGTGCTCTCTGAGCTTGGTGGTCTTCTTGCAGATGTTTGATGGCCCAACTAGGTAGCATCAACAGTGCTAGAAGGGAGGGGGTTTGCAGAGAGGAGGAGGAGGAGGAAAGAGGGAGGAGGAGGAGGAGAAAGAGGAGGAGGAGGAAGGGGGGAGGTAGGAGGACTGTGGGGTCCCTGAGACTCCCTGAGTGTCGGGGATTTGCTCTCTGAGCTTCGCTGTGTTCCTACAGACGTTTCATGACCCAACTAGGTAGCCTCATCAGCCTCGCCTTACCCAGGCTGGGCCCTGTCTGCTTTCCTCCATGGCAATCCCTGGATGAAGATGCTGTTTTCCATTAGATTTCTTTGTCTGGAGCCAATCCTTGCTTATTTCGGTCCCCTCCCCCCCAAAAAAACCCTCCAAAGTCCAAAAACGGGTCCCCTCCTGGCCATCCAAACCCACCCACCCCCCTTTTGAACGGGCTTCACCCTCCTCGTCCTGTCCTTTCCCACCCCCGGCAGGCATCGGCTTCGCCATCTGCATCATCGCTTTCTACCTGGCCTCCTACTACAACACCATCATGGCCTGGGCCCTGTATTACCTGATCTCCTCCTTCGGCCACGAGCTGCCCTGGGTCAGCTGCACCAACGCCTGGAACACCCCGAACTGCCTGAGCTACTTCTCCAATCGGAGCATCGCCTGGACGGCCAACGCCTCTTCGCCCGCCGAAGAATTCTATACGTAAGTGCATGTAAGTCGAAAGAGGGACGGCCGGGAGGGGGGGACGGAGGCGTGGAGGACGGGCAGAGGAGCAGGGAAGCCCCCTCCCCTCCTCACGTTCTTGGGAGACTCTCTGGCCCAGTGGTTCTCAACCTTTTTAATGCCGCGACCCCCCAGCCGGTCGTAAGTCGAGGACTACTCGACTGGTCGTAAGTCGAGGACTACTCCACGGGTGCAGCACCGTTTGCAGAAGGGGACTTTTTGGCGGGCTCAGCAGGGCAGAGACAGCCTGGACAATTCCTATTGGCTTTTGAAAGCCAATAGAATTAGACTCTATTCAAGAGACTCTATTCTATTGGCTTCCAAAAGCCAACAGAATAAAAGGGAGTAGCACAGCTAAGGAAAAGGGGGGGGGGGAAATGGCGGACTGCGTTGTTTGGCGACCCCTGTGAAATGGTCGTTCGACCCCAAATGGGGTCCCGACCCACAGGTTGAGAACCACTGCTCTGGACACACACACGGCCCCCCCAAAAGGGGCTAGAGACCCCTTTTTCAGGGGTCAAAAGAGCCTGATTCCTGCCACCAGCTTGAGACACCTGGTTGAGCTGGGGGTTGCACTAGATCAGGGCTTTTCAACCAGTGGTACAGGTACCACCTGTGGTACATTGGCCCCTGGCAAGTGGTACGCGATTATCCTAGAAAAGTGGTAGCAGGGGAGGGGAATGAGCTGAATTGGTGGCAGCACCGCACAAGCCTGAGCGAGAGACGGCTGGAGCTGCAGGGCTGTCGGGGCTCAGCAGAAGCCCCAGGATCAGCGCCAGGATCCAGCTGGAGCTCGGCTCTGATCCTGGTGCTTCTGCTGAGCCCAGAAGAAGCGGCGATCAGCTGGAATGTTGCAGCCTCTCCAGGGTCTTGTGATTTACACTCAGATGCTTGGCAACGGATTCATATTTATGACGGTCACAGTGTCCCAGGGTCATGTGAAGGGACCAAAACCTGCTGCAACCACCCACCAGACGGGGGGAATAAAAACCAAACACACCCCCCCCACCCCACCCCCGCTGCCAATCCTCAACAGAAATGCTCACAACAATGAAAACCTCGGACAGGAGGAAGAGCGCGGCCAGGAGGGCAGGCAGGTGTCTTACTCGGCTGGGGCTTGGGGGGGCACTTTTTTCAGTGCCATTGTGACTTCGAACAGTCACTAAGCGAACTGTTGTAAGTCGAGGACTACCTGTACTTTATCACTTTTTCCCATTTTTTTGGGTCAAGTTTTTGACACCTTGCTAGGCGACTGGTGGTCCTCGGATGTTGCTGTATCCTAAAAGTGGCACAATGGGTGAAAAGGTTGAAAAGCCCTGGACTAGATGACCTCTGAGGTCCCTTTTAACTCTGATAGTCTATGATTCTATAAAGAAGGAAAGGAGAAAAGGGAGGGAGGGAGGGAGGGAGGGAGGAAGGAAGGAAGGAAGGAAGGAGAGTAAAGAAGGAAGGGAGGGAGGGAGGGAGGAGAGAGAAAGGGTGGGAGGGAGGGAGGAAGGGAGGAAGAAGGGAGAAGAAAGAAGGAAGGAAGGGAGGGAGGAAGGAAAGGAGGAGGGAAGGAAGGAGAGGAAAGAAGAAAGGGAGGGAGGGAGGGAGGAGAGGAAAGAAGGAGGGAGAGGAAAGAGGGAGGGAGGGAAGGAAGGGAGGGAGGAAGGAGAGGAAAGAAGGAAGGGAGGGAGGAGGGAAGGGAAGAAGGAAGGGAGGGAGAGAGGGAGGAAGGAAGGAAGGAGAGGAAAGAAGGAAGGAGGAAGGGAAGAAGGAAGGGAGAGAGAAAGGGAGGAGGGAAGGAAGGAGAGGAAAGAAGGAAGGAAGGA